AAACTCCACCCATACACACACACATACACACACACACATACAGGTTTGTAATTATATCTTTGTGGAGACTCTCCATTCATTTCTTATTAGGAAAACTCTAATCCCAACACGACCGTAACCCCTACCCAGCCCTAACCCTAACCATAAGTAACTTGCAAGAAAATATGAGACTTTTGGCATTTTCACTTTTTTGATTGCATTCACAGATCTTTGTGGGGACCTGAAAAATGGTCCCCACAACATGAAAATAACTGGTTTTTATTACATTGGAGAGACATTTGATCCCTAGAATGTAATATACTCCTAATACATACCTACATACACACACACACAGCAAGGTCTGGACCACCAACCCTGGACATGTGAGGCAACAAAACCACCTTCAGAACTGATGTTGGACAACATTGCAAAATTTGTCAAGTGGATACAAAAGATGGGTGGATGGATGGATGGCAGACTGTGTACTGAGAAGCCACCCCCAGCCGTAACATGCCAGGATGCATCCTGTCTCTGCAATGGTAAAAGTATGGTGCTCTCTGTTTGTTTATTTATTTATTTTTGCACATGCATCATTATGGAGTGGTGCAGTGGTTGGCTCTGTTTTCTCACACCACTGGGAACAGGGTTCGAGTCTCGGCCATGGCTCCATGTGTGTTTGCATGTTCTCCTCGTGTTGCACCTGAGTACCTGCTCTCCCCCCAACAGTCAAAAACATGCTGAAGTGAATTGGTGTTACCAAATTGTCCATAGGTGTGACTTGCAATGGGTTGGTACCCCATCCTGGGTTGTTCCCTGCCTTGTACCATAGACTGTGGACCCTCATAACCCTGAATAAGGTAAGCAGTTGCAGGAACTGGGTGGATGGATATATCATTACCTAATACATTTTTTTTTTACATTTATATACAGGGCCATGTAGGTTTGGATATTTTTTCTCCCTGAATAATAAAAACCTTCATTTAAGAACTGCATTTTGTGTTTACTTGTGTTATCTTTGACTAATAGGTAACGGTTTTTGATGATCAGAAACATTTTGTGTGACACACATGCAAAAGAATAAGAAATCAGGAAGGGGGCAATTAGTTTTTCACACCACTGTATCTCCTCTGTTCTGTTTTTTTGTTTTTCACATCTCTTAGCACAAACTTTGAATTAATTTACCATTATCACAATATAAATGTAGAACTGCCGCTTCTCATTGGCTTATCTCCAGACACTGGGTGGGGTATATCGAAGTTTGTTGAAGCTGTGACTGCACAGTGATGCAGTATGCCTGTATATGAACCCCAGGACACAATAAGGTCGGTCACCGTTTCGGTAAACAATTTGGGTGATCATTCAATAAACTGTGACCTGTCTAGTTTATGGGTTTTTACCGAATGATTTGTTCCCACAGGAAATGTCCACGGTATTGAGACACCTTTAAAGGATTTCAGCCACTATCTAGATATACAGTATTTCTACTTCTAAGATGAAGATTTAAGTCATCAGATGTTACCAAGCTCAACAGATCTTGATTATAAATGTAAGTATTTGTATGATCTCTCCCTAATTCTGTCCAAATATCCCAAATTAAAGATTGCATTGATGTCTCTAATCATCCGGTTGCTTGTCATGTGACAGTCTCTACGGGATTTGTGGAGCTCAGGCATTAGTTGATGATTGGTATCTGTAATATTATCAGTTTTTGTTATAAGTGTAATATCAGTTTTTGCCAAAGTTTCTACATCAGTGCACTTTAAGCTATATGGGTTCAATAAAATATATCTTATGTACCGTTTCCCTTGGTCAAACAAATATAAATTTTTTTTTATCAAAAACATTTTTACAAATGTTTCATATTTTCCCTCACCCGGACTAGGGTCACCGGGGCCCCACCCTGGAGCCAGGCCTGGGGGAGGGGCCCGTTGGCAAGCGCCTGGTGGCCGGGCCTTGGCCCATGGGGCCTGGCCAGGCATAGCCCGAAAGAGGCACGCGGGACTGTCCCCAGGTGGGCCCACCACCTGCAAGGGGGAATGTCAGGGGTTCGGTGCATTGTGGATCGGGTGGCGGCCAAGGGAGTCCCTGCCGGTCCGATCCCCAGCTGACAAAACTGGCTTTCGGGACATGGAATGTCACCTCTCTGGTGGGGAAGGAGCCTGAGCCTGTGCGTGAGGTTGAGAGATATCGACTAGATATAGTCGGGCTCACCTCAACGCATTGCTTGGGTTCTGGAACCAATCTCCTGGAGAGGGGCTGGACGCTCTTTTCTTCTGGAGTTGCAGCAGGTGAGCGACGCCGGGCTGGGGTGGGGCTACTGGTGGCCCCACAGCTCAGTGTATTAACAACAGAGTTTACCCCGGTGAACGAGAGGGCTGTCTCCCTGCGCCTTCGGGTCGGGGATAGGTCTCTGACTGTCATCTGCGCTTATGCGCCGAATGACGGTTCAGAGTACCCAGCCTTCTTGAATTCCCTTAGTGGTATGCTGGTTAGCGCGCCACGAGGAGATTCCATCGTTTTGCTAGGGGACTTCAACGCTCATGTGGGCAATGACAGTGTGACCTGGAGGGGGGTCATTGGGAGGAACGGCTTCCCTGATCTGAACCCGAGTGGTGTTCTGTTATTGGACTTCTGTGCAATGCATGGTTTGTCCATGATGAACACCATGTTCGAGCATAAGGGTGTCCATAAGTGGACATGGTACGAACATGCCCGGGGCTACAGGTCGATGATCGATTTCATAATCGTATCATCTGATCTGCTGCCTTCTGTCTTGGAAACTCGGGTAAAGAGAGGGGCAGAGCTGTCAACTGATCACCACCTGGGGGTGAGTTGGCTCAGGTGGTGGGGGAGGAAGCCGGTCAGACCTGGTAGGTCCAAGCGCATAGTGAGGGTCTGCTGGGAACGTCTGGCAGAGGCTCCTGTTCGCCGGAGCTTTAACTCGCACCTCCGGCAGAATTCCAACTGCATACCAGGGGAGGTCGGGGACATTGAGTCTGAATGGACCTGTTCCGGACCTCCATTGTGGAAGCGGCTGCACGGAGCTGTGGCTGCAGGGTGGTCGGTGCTAATCGTGGTGGTAGCCCCATACCCGATGGTGGACACCAGAGGTGAGGGGGGCTGTCAAGCTGAAGAAAGAGGCTTACTGGGAATTATTAGCCCGGGGGTTTCTGGAGGCAGCTGACGGGTACCGGCAGGCCAGGTGTGGAACGTGGCTCGGGCGGTCGCAGAAGCAAAAACCCGGGCGTGGGAGGAGATCGGTGAGGCAATGGAAAGTTACTTTCAGTTGGCCTCAAAAAGGTTCTGGCAAACCATCTGGAATATCAGGAGGGGGAAGCAGCTCCTGGTTCCTACTATTTATAGTGGGGAGGGGGTGCTGTTGACCTCACCTGGGGACATCACCCGGAGGTGGAAGGAATACTTTGAGGAGTTCCTCAACCCTGCCTTAGACATCTACGCTCACTGCCTTTGAGACATCTGAGGGCACAGAGCCCGAGGGTGCTGGGGGGGTCTTGTCCATCACTGGGGCTGTGGTGGCCAGGGTGGTTAAAGAGCTACGTGGTGGCCGAGACCCCGGGGTGGACGAGATCCACCCGGAGTACCTGAAGGCTCTGGATGTTGTTGGGCTGTCGTGGCTGACACGCCTTCTGTACAGAGACCGCTGGATTGGCAGACCAGGGTGGTGGTCCCCTTATTTAAGAAGTTGTGTTCCAACTACAGGGGGATCACACTTCTCAGCCTTCCTGGGAGAGTCTATTCTGGGGTGCTGGAGAGGAGGGTGAGATCGATAGTCGAATCTCGGATTCAGGAGGAACAATGCGGTTTTCGTCCTGGCCGTGGAACACTGGACCAGCTTTATACCCTTGCAAGAGTACTGGAGGGGGCCTGGGAGTTTGCCTATCCAGTCTACATGTGTTTTGTGGATTTGGAAAAGGCTTACAATTGGGTTCCTCGAGGTGCTCTGTGGGGGGTGCTTTGGGAGTATGGGGTCCGGGGTCCACTGTTGTGGGCGATTTGGTCCCTGTATGAACGGAGCAGAAGCTTGATCCACATTGCCGGTAATAAGTCGGACGTGTTCCCAGTGCGGGTTGGGCTCCGCCAGGGCTGCCCTTTGTCATCGGTCCCGTTTATAATATTTATGGACAGGATTTCTAGGCGCAGCCAGGGTGTTGAGGGTGTCCAGTTTGGTGGCCTCAGGATTGCCTCGCTGCTTTTTGCAGACGATGTCGTCCTGTTGGCTTCATCTGCTGGGGATCTCCAGTGTGCTCTGGGGCGGTTCGCAGCCGAGTGCGAAGCGGCGGGGATGAGGATTAGCACCTCCAAGTCCGAGACCATGGTTCTCAGCCGGAAACGGGTGGATTGCCCTCTTCAGGTCAGGGAAGAGGTACTGCCTCAAGTGGAGAAGTTCTCAAGTATCTTGGGGTCTTGTTCACAAGTGAGGGTAGGCAAGATTGGGAGCTGGACAGACGAATTGGAGCGGCGTCTACAGTTTTGCAGGCACTTAACCGGTTCGTCATGGCTAAGAAAGAACTGAGCCGGAAAGCAAAGCTCTCGATCTATTGGTCCATCTTTGTCCCTACCCTCACCAATGGTCTTGAGCTATGGGAAATGACCGAAAGAATGAGATCGCAAATACAGGTGGCCGAAATGACGTTTCTCCGCAGGGTATCTGGGCTCTCTAGAAGTTTGGATATCCGGGAGGGTCTCAGAGTAGAACCGCTGCTTCTCCACGTCGAAAGGAGCCAGTTGAGGTGGTTTGGACATCTGGTGCGGATGCCTCCTGGGCGGCTACCCGGAGAGGTTTTCCGTGCATGTCCTACAGGGAGGAGGCCCCGGGGCAGACCCAGGACACGTTGGAGGGATTACATCTCTCGGCTGGCCTGGGAACACCTTGGCGTCCTCCCCGAGGAGCTGGTAGAGATAGCTGGGGAGAGGGAGGTCTGGGTATCTCTCCTGAAGCTGCTACCCCCGTGACCCGAACCACGGACAAGCGGTAGTTAATGAATGGATGGATGGTTTCATATTTTAGATATTCATTTTATTATAAATATCTATGTACAGGAAACAACGCATGAATGCCTGGTGGATATGCAAACCTGTTTAGAGGTATTTTGGTACATTGGTAGGTAACCCTTCTGTAGTTACAAAGGTAATCGGCAGTAATGGGTACAATAAATTATTTTAAATTACTTGAAAATGCAACTCTGTAACAGCAAAAGACCAGTATAATCACTTTCACACAGAAGAACATTTCTTTGTGTTACACTACCTGAAGTCATAAATTCAATTTAAAGAATATATGATTAAAATAAAAACAGTATCTAAAGATATATGTCAGAGTTTAACACTAAAGCAGTTCTCCTTGACAAAAAAAAACACATACATAGACTCTGGGTAGAATCCTGCAGGGATCAAAATTGGTTTGCTTAGTAAAAGAAAGAAAAAAAAGCTCTGAATAAGTCATGAAGGACCTCACACACCGGCGATGGAACCCAAAGAGCAAAACGAATCTTTATAAGGATCAAACCTAGCCCTCAGTTTATAGAACTACATTTAAAAACAAATCTACCAGGGGAAAAAAAAAAAATCTAAATCAGCATTTCCCAACCCAGTCCTCAGGGAGGGAGCATAAACGTGGACTGTCTGGCAGGGAGCTGGGAGGGAGCATAAACGTGGACTGTCTGGCAGGGAGCTGGGAGGGAGCATAAACGTGGACTGTCTGGGGGTCCCTGATGACTGGCTTGGGAAGCACTACCCTAAATCTCCCTGAAAGTACATTTTTCTTGAATGTAAACTACTGCCCTTTGGGAATTTACACCATTTCTGATTAACAGCTTGGAAGATTTGCCTGTACTATATACAGGGGGTACATCAGCCTGAAATGGTCAAAATCTTTGTAGTATTTTAATGTCATAATATAGGACTAGGCAGACAACTCATTCAATTTCTGAAATTTGTGTTAAACAACCACAGGTAATTTACTTACACATGCAGACACATTTAACCTAATTAGAACCAATAATACAAGAACCGTTCTTTCATTAGGCAGCAATTTTCCATTTTTATAGAGTTACAAACTCAGGTTACTATATTAGGTAAACCTGCATACAAACTGGATCAACACAAGTACAAATCACAAGGAACACGAACATTTTCCTTAGAAAAATAATCCACTGTATTATTATTCCATTTAGCATGTCATAGCTGCTGCTACATGGACTAAAATTATGTGTTTTTATTTAATGATGGACAACATTATTCCCAACTGTCTGTCTGTATAGGTATGGTGTTATGAATAAGGCTGAGGGTATTATGTGCATATACACATGCTTGATTTGCCAACACAGAGGTGTGTTTGTTCAGGGTGACGTCCAGCTCATTCCTTATGAAGAGTCCAAACAAAAAGAGAGGAACCACACTTAGGTTCCTCCTCAGGAGCATCATACCACAGCAGTGGCTTCATCAGGTCGCTCTGGTTTGTTTAGGTTCTGGATCTGCTCAAGGACCCAGTTGATGTCTGGTCGTTCCTGAGGGTTGGGCACCATGATGGAGCTGAGCAGCGTCTGAAGGCCTTGTGAGTACCTTGTAAACAAATCATATGGGGTGAGTGACCAAAGACAGATGAGCGAGTTGTCTCTGTGACAGAGGTGAGCCAAACAGGCACAGTGTTACTCACTTGCAAGGCTGAGGGATGACAATAGGGTTCTGCACAGCCAGCGCCACGCTGTCACCTTTCTGGAACACCAGGTCATAAGGACCCTCCAACATCATCATGGAGTAGAGGACACAGCCCAGCGACTGCACAGTGGACAGAGAGACAGTGGGCAGCTGCATTTTAGGGACACCTGCTTCACTAGTCACATGCACATCAGACACATCTATAAATGGCAAAAACTTGCTGAGCTTGCTGGCACAGATTTGCACAGTGACGAAAAATCGATCTGCGGTCCAGATTTAATAATGAATTATAAACATGTCACGGGCCGGTACTCTTTGACCACTTCTAAGTGGTAAATGAGCTAATGAAATCCCTCATTCTCTAGTATGGAAAATGGCTGATCGCCAATGCTCTCTCTGCATTATTTTAGTAGTTGTCTCTTTAGCTTTTGATGCTGTTAACTTTATTGATATTGAGAGTTTAAATATCAACCGGCCATATCGGTTAACCGATATATCGTGCATATGTCAATTCTGAGTGAAAAAATAACGTGATTCACATTTTACCCAGAATTGTACAGCCCTATACTCAGGTGTGCTGCGTGCTTTTCACAAATAGTATTTTTTTTTGATGGTGTTGTGTAGAAAGTCTCAGAGTATGTGGCTATGGTTCACGAGTTTGCTAAATTTATGCTAAAATTCAGTCCTGTTACTTTCAGTCCTGTTACTCATATAATGAGAGAAGTACAACTTGCATCCATATACGGTGATTTTTTTTAAATCTACAAATATATAAAAAACACACACTGAGGGGAACAAAAAAGAACTAGTTGGTTGCATTTGAAAATCATTACAACTCCCACTTTAAAACCTTGAAAGAACTTTATAAATTTGTCTGAGATTGACCAGTGCACATTCTGAATGATTACATATATGTATTATTAGATTCAGTGTTGAAAAAGATGAAAAAATTAAATTTAATTTTGAAGATTTATAACATGCAAATGGCACCGATTTGGCAGAATCACCCTTAAGTACAACAACAAAGTACTGGTACTTTACTTTACACATCTGGACGTGTCAGACTGAGGATTGAAGAGTGGGAGTCTCCTACCCAGATGTCCGTGCGCTCATCGATGATGCAGTAGCTCTCCACATTGAAGAGCTCTGGTGCCCTGTAGGAAATGGTGCATCTCTGGGAAGCCCAATCCTGAAAAAGACAAAAGGAAAGATCCTCTGAGCAACAGATGTGCACATTGGCTTTCTGCACAAGGCTTTCCTGGAAGCCAGACATACACAAGTGCCTCCACATCACCGTGATACCTGAATGGTCATGGCCTCTCGGGATCCTCGGACCTCAATACGAGCCTTGTTCATGGAGCCTAGGTCCATCAGGATCGGCGTCTCGTCCTCGTCCAGGAGGATATTGGTTGGCTTTATGTCCCTAATGGATAGAAAGGGGATGGACAGTGTGTTTCTCAGTACTCTTTTATTAGGGGCAGTGTGTAATCCCAACTGGAAAGGAACTCTACTGGACCAGGGCTGATAAACATTGACAATGGTCCTCGAGGTTTTCAGTTAGGGCACTTCTGCACCACACCAAGTACGGTACTATCGGTACTTTTGCTTTTCCACTGACTTCCGGTCGAGAACCAGTACCAAAAGTTCCAGTACCAAAAGTGGCAAACCAGCTGGGGTACTTCATTGGTACTTTGGAGTGGGACTTGAAACACTTTCTTTGGGGATCGGTTGTGCAAATAACACAATACAAATGCCACCCTGAAAATAGCTGCAAACTCAGAAAATAATGATAAATGACATAACAAAAAAAATGCTATTTGGTCCTAAGAACATATACAACAAAAAGATCCAGATGGCATGACAAGAAATGAATGTATTTTGTTTAATATACTAATACAGCACGCATATAGCATGTTGTCCCAGCGATGTGATTTAGTTATAAATCTAGCGATGTGATTTTGTTGTAATAAATATTGAGGAATTTATAAAAACAAAAAAAAGAGTGAATAAATTTCTCACAACTCCGTCTTCAAGTGATTTAACTGGCAAGGATGAAAATTATTACAATTGTCTCAGAGAACGCATGTAGTGCTCATGCAAAAGCAGCGGAAGTAAACTTTAAACTGATTTTTAAACATAAGAATCTATAAAAGGAATAATAATTAAAATTGTAAAGTTTCCTAAATTGTTTCCTATGGCAGAGTAACAGTAAAAATATTTTATTGAAACTTTAACTCCCGCGCTATAATGTAAGAATCGTATGTGCATATTAATACCGCACATCATCCAGCCTCATGCTGTCAGGTTATTCAGTGCCGGTACCAGTTTTTACACCAGTGGAAAACCAACACCTTGGAGTACTGTACTTTCTGCACTTTCTCGAAGCACCAAAAGATTGGTACCTGGTGCAGTGGAAAAGCACCCTTAGTCTCTCCAGAGGAGTAACAGTACCTGTGGGCATAGCCTTTGTCGTGAAGGGTTTTGAGGCCAGCACACATTCCCTGGAAAATGTGCAGAATTTGTCCCTCAGGCATGGAGGCACCTTTATCCCTCAGCTTCTCCAACACAGACCACAAGCTGCCTTTCTGTGAGGGGCACAGGCAGGAGAACAAGCAAAAGCCTCAACAACCATCCCGAGCGAGCTGGGGGGCATTTCACAAAGAGCGATTATTCAAGTTATGCAGGTAGCTGTCAACAAAAACACACTGATGAAAGGCAGAGCTCTACAATGCGAATAACTAATACATCTCTTCTCATGCTGGACAACCCTAACCTCTGTCATATCAATTTAAAAACAAGCATACAAATGTACAAGATCAGGTGTGATTAGCACCATCACTCAATCATAGTTTGCCAAAGTAGATTTTCTATGGTTGACACTAAACATTAACCGTGTAGAACAGCAATAAAAAAATTCAAAAGTTTACTGAATTGAACATCACGCTGAAAGCCACGTAATTGAGAGAAACATGCAAAGTGCATGAAAAAAGTTTAAATTCATTTCAGGGTCCAAAACAAACTGCATGAACATGCACCTGCCTTAGCATAGCTCCACTGCTGAATCCCTGGGCTCATTTGCATAATGTTCACCGTAAATAAGGTTGCAGTGCAGCGGGTACTGCGTTGATCTTTCAGTCCATTAAGCCACTTCATCCTCATTCCTGCCACGCTGACTTTATGGTTACTCATTAGCACTGCTGGGTCACATTTATTGGATGTTGCAGCAGACTGGGTGATACTTTGCTTATTGATGAGGCTGACAGGTAATATTTAATTACTGCTGGAGCGGACCGGGACACGAACATTCATCGCTGGAAGGAGGCTGGACGACTCACCCTGATATAAGGCAGTAACAGCCAGGCCTCACTCTTGCCCCCGCGATCTACGAAGGTGTGACCAGCGAGCGAGAGGACATTGGGGTGATTAAAGAGCCGGTGCATCTCCACCTCCGTCTGGGCTTCCTGGCGGCCCTCTCTGTCATGGCAGAGGATCCTCTTCAGGGCGTAGAAACGTCCATCATGCACTCCCTCCACCAGGTCCACATAACTGAACCCCCTTCAAAAAGATTTAGAAGTTTTCGCGTCAGTCTACTTGATTCCCGCGACATCATGTGATGTTCTACAGAACCAACTGGCCTTAAAGTTCTTCAAAAGAACAATATAGAAGTTCCTATTCAATGTGATATTTTTATTACACCAAAATCTGATAAGAAGCAGAACAGGCGGTGCTCTCAACGGAATTCAGGCCTCCTGCAGCTGGCAGACCCACTAGCCGATGCCTTCTTACCCTTCCTCTAGTTTCTGTATAAAGAAGTATCTCTTGTCTTCTATGGTGATAGTATTGCGGGCGCAGATACAGAGGTGCTGACCCATGGTCACTGGCACATGGCTGGGTCACACTGGATTGGCCAGGGAGATGGAGGGATGGGTGAAGCCAGGAATACATGAGAGGAACAAATGTATATGAAAAGAGAAAGTGAAAAGGGGATAACTTTGTTTAGGGAATCTGCACTCTTTGTTACAAATATCAGTTATAAGTTGCATTCCACATTAAGGTAAAAAACAGACCGGGCTTCAAAGATAAATACAAAGTAATAAAATCGATTACTTAATTCAGATGCATATCAGGTATATCCGTATTACAATTCGTACAAGTGTTAAAAGGCCTGCCTGTTGCAGAAAGTGTCTCCATCCACACGGATCATTCTGTTAAATCCAAACCGCAAGCACGCCACTACAGTTCGCATTCACATGGCAACAAGAAAAAATNTGCAGAAAGTGTCTCCATCCACACGGATCATTCTGTTAAATCCAAACCGCAAGCACGCCACTACAGTTCGCATTCACATGGCAACAAGAAAAATACACAAACTACTGACCAAAATTAAGGCACCCATACCGGCTTATCTAACAACATTTCAGCGGAACAATGTACTTGGTGTACAGTAACGTACGGGTTTATAATTAATTCAGTGCTTTCCTAGTACAGCTTTCCAAATTATTTACACGACGACCAGCGTTTTAAGCAAATAATGTTGCGTTTGGTGTCCAGAAAGCCGGCCAAGACAAAATGAATGGGATTCACAACTTAAGCCCCATTATGTATTCTGCGAAGATCAACGACCAAACTATCAGCATGTAAACGTGGCGATCACGGATCACTTTAACATACGTGCTTAACAGCAAAACGATAAATATAACGTGGCGTATAACGTCAAGACCGAAATAGGTCACGGCGCAGTAAACCTACAAGCTAAATGAAACGGAATCGGTGCACCTGAAATTACAAATAATTGCAATTTATCTAGCAGATAAAGGGCTTGATATTAACTGTCGGAATGTACCTTAGCGGTGAAATCGGCGATCGCGGACACTGGATCGCTGGGCGGCCATCGGGCCCTTCCTTCGCTCTTCCTCATCCTCGCCGGAGTTCCGTGTACACGTTGTGACGCAGTACGGCTCCTCCCCTCATGTCACCTACCGCAGTGCTGACTGTCCGCCGCTGCTGTCATCGCAGGTCCACAAACCTACCTGCTGCGTAGGATGTATTTCAGGAATATTGTCATTCATCTGTCCATCTGTCAGTCGCGATGTTATTTTTTTAAACAGATATTATCGTATTTTTGCACCTGCAATTTATACGTTTTTGAGTACATTTTTTGTAAAACCAGAAAGTTTTAGTTTCACATCCTAGAAGTCTGTAGCTATATAATTTGTAAGTGCTGTTTGTAATAACGTTTATCACTTCCGCCATATTCAGGGATTCTGCTTACTGAACATTATGTGTCATAGTGTAACACATTTAGACGTGAGTACTACTAATTTTACAAGAAAAATGTAATTACACTATTGTTCAAAACTCCCGGTATTATGTTTGTAGAGGGGCTCCTTGGTTTTAAGCTATACAGTGGCTTAGTGCACTTTGGCCTCCCAGCCCCTGGATTTCTGTGTGTACCTCGTGAGTCTGTGTCGGTTTCCTTCACGTATAACGTTCCCCTCCAGCACTTCATAAACTTTTGGTTTGATCAACTGCTGTCTCTATATTATGACATTATATACTATGTGATAAACTGGCCTCTTGTACAGAATATCCCATGTTATGCATTCTGCTTCTGATAAAAGCTCCAGTCTCATTTTAACCATGTCCAGGATAAATGCAATTAAAGGAGCTGGATTTTTTTTTATATTCTTTTGTTATTTTTATTTGCATTTGTAAATATATTAGTCTTCACAAACAAATGATGCAAGTAATTCAGACAAAGGCCACTCTGGAAATTAATATTTTAATATATGTTTTTCACCAAAGCATGGCATATATGTATATATTTCAATTAAAAGCACAGATTTTTTTGTCCATTTTTAATACTCTTCCCCTTCCTCATCTTCTTCAAAAGAGTCAATGCCAACCTCTTCATAGTCTTTCTCCAGGGCTGCCATGTCTTCACGGGCTTCAGAAAACTCTCCCTCCTCCATACCCTCTCCCACATACCAGTGGACAAAGGCTCTCTTGGCGTACATCAGGTCAAACTTGTGGTCCAGGCGAGCCCAGGCCTCAGCGATGGCGGTGGTGTTGCTCAGCATGCACACAGCCCTCTGAACCTTGGCCAGGTCTCCTCCAGGAACCACAGTGGGTGGCTGGTAGTTGATACCCACTTTAAAGCCAGTAGGACACCAGTCCACAAACTGGATGGTGCGCTTGGTCTTGATAGTGGCAATGGCTGAGTTGACATCTTTGGGAACCACGTCTCCACGGTACAGCAGACAGCAGGCCATGTACTTGCCGTGACGGGGGTCACACTTCACCATCTGATTGGCTGGCTCAAAGCAGGCATTGGTGATATCTGCAACAGAAAGCTGCTCGTGGTAAGCCTTCTCAGCAGAGATCACTGGGGCATAGGTAGCCAGAGGAAAGTGGATACGGGGATAAGGCACCAAATTGGTCTGGAACTCTGTCAGGTCCACATTCAGGGCTCCATCAAAGCGCAGTGAGGCTGTAATGGAGGAGACAATCTGGCTAATCAGCCTGTTGAGGTTGGTGTATGTTGGGCGTTCGATGTCCAGATTTCTGCGGCAGATATCATAGATGGCTTCATTGTCCACCATGAAGGCACAGTCAGAGTGCTCCAGGGTGGTGTGGGTGGTCAGGATGGAGTTGTAGGGCTCAACCACAGCTGTGGACACTTGAGGAGCTGGATATATTGCAAATTCAAGCTTGGACTTTTTACCAAAATCAACTGAGAGGCGTTCCATCAGGAGGGAGGTGAACCCAGAGCCAGTACCCCCACCAAAACTGTGGAAGATGAGGAAACCTTGGAGGCCAGTGCACTGGTCAGCCTACAGAGGAACAAAGTAGGTAACAAAAATACAGCGGTGCTTTGCATCCTGTTGCAACTAACAATAAGGAACCTACAAGCTCCTGACATGTCAGAGGCCCTTTATGCAGAGGGCAGAAAACATTTTGTGGCAAATATGACCCCCAAACCTCCTGCCCCCCCAAAAGCTCAAAATTTCATACCAGCTTGCGGATCCGGTCAAGAACTGAATCAATGATCTCCTTGCCGATGGTGTAGTGCCCACGGGCATAGTTGTTGGCAGCGTCCTCCTTGCCAGAGATGAGCTGTTCTGGGTGGAATAGCTGCCGGTAGGGCCCTGTGCGAACCTCATCTGCAGAGAGCATAAAAATGAGAATATAAGGGAAATTTTCATGAATGGTTACTCTGCTGACTGACACTTTCATCCAAGACATCTTTCTGTTTTATCTGTTCGTACATCCTTACATTTAAATTGTTTTATATTAAATTTATTGCAATATTAGTGCAATACTAAATACCTTGCTACAATTAGAAGAATAAATATTTAAATAACTTTGAAATTAATGTCTTTCAGTGTGTGTCTCTGCAAGCTAGGTCTCTGTGTCTGTGATCCGAAGGTTGCTGGTTCAGGTTCCAATCCTACAGCTGACAGAATAATTTCCCCATTGGGTCCTTGAGCAAGGCCATTAACCCCAATTGCTGATTGGCTGATCCTGATCTCTCAACTGAATGTCACTTTGGATAAACGTGTCAGCTAAATACATAAATGTGAATGTTTGCTAGGAATTAATTGCCGAAGTGCTGTTAATCAGGACCTGGTGGGTATTCCAGAATGTAGGTTTGGGATTCAACCTGAACTCCAACTTGAATGAGCTTGAAGCAATGCAAACATAGGTACTGGGTTCCAGAAACACTGATTACAACTTTAGGGATTGAGTTTGTTAGTTGGGAATGGAAATATTAATGTTAGTTGGGAATGGAAATATTAATGTTAGTTGGGAATGGAAATATTAACATCTGCTTATACCAGGTATGAATTTATTGTAAAGAAAAAGTAACAGGGCAGCCAGAGCAAAGGAGACAGTGAGACAGTGTTGCAAAAATGCGCAACTAGTCAACGCGTAAGTAGATCATTCTAATTTTATTTTAAATTCATCAGACTAATGTGGTCAACAACATTGTCTAATACAGTATAATTGATAGAATATGGAATATAAATGGTTTACTTTGTGTACATTGAGCTGTGTATATATGGGAATTTTTTTATATAGTTGCAATTCAATTGGAACCAAAAGAACTTGGCAGCAATATAGAATGAAATATAAAAACATAATTCAAAATGACAGGAATATTACTGTGTATTTGTAATTAATCCCAACATTTGTCTAACTGGAGACTTTGGCTGATGCTTAATATTTATTATGGATGGATGGAACGGGGTGGAGGCATTGATGATGTCTGACCCCCAGTACGTTTAACATAATCGACACTCACTTTTAAATGACTTTGATTGACTGTTCTCTTCCCAGTGAGCAATGGCATTATTGGTCAAGTGGATCCTTCTGCCATAATACAGCCTCATGCTTTTATATGTGATTGAATATTTCCCAGATTTTGCCTAATAGAACATGAGGAGCCAATCAAACTACTCAGTGAGGGGACATACGTGGAGGACTGCTGAGATATAAGTTCATGCATGTCAATAGGCACATCTGATTATATACACTTGCTTGTCCTTTAACAGTGTGGGTCAGAGACCCACCTGAAGAGGGTGAGGGTCCCCTGACCTTGACAACTGAGCTGAACTCAGTATTAACTTATTCCTAATGTCCCATTCATAAGTGAAAGTATGATATTTATACACTCAGGATTAACTAGATGTGTTCTTCCTAGTTGCCTTTTGAGTAATGTTACATGGTCCATCAGGAGAAGCAAATAAAGTGTTCTCTAGATGGAGAATATTAAACTAGTGCGGTAATACTAGTTAAAGTGAATTTTGTGGATGTCAAGATGGATGATTCTTGTAAAATGACCAAAAAGTTTGTGTGTCTCATTTTAATGTGTAGGCAAAGGGAGGCACATAAATGAAACTGTGGTGAATTTGTCTTTATTTCATTTATTGTGGTGGTGGTGGTGAGTGATTACTAACAAAAATGGTTATTTGCACTGATGTTCCTGAGATCTTTTCCATCTCCAAGTTCTTTCTCTGGCTCAGTGTGCAGTTCAGCAGGACGGGGCTCTCAGCTAAAGCTGAAACGTTCAATGCCATCACCAGTAAACATTCCTATAATAAATGGCAAGCCTGTAATTTGGTGAAACTATCCTTTAGGTCTAATTATTGTCCAGGATTTGTTTCTGGGAAAAACGACAAAAATACGCAGTAGCCTTCTGACTGCTAAGCGCTCTTGGCTTTGCGAGACGCCCTGAATAAATGTGAATGTAGCTCATACTTTGTGGAAAGTCCGACTTGCGGTTGCTTTGCCAGTGTGTTCGTCATCTGCTATGTTATATAAGAGGCTTCCAGTCGGAAGAAAGTGGAGAGCAATAATAAAGTTTGTAAAGAGTGCAAATCCATGAGGTGTGATGTTTGAAATGACAGGCTGAAAACGGTTGTTCAAATAAATTAGATAAAACAAATTTTATCAAGTGAAATCAAACCTTACTGATCCCAGGCATGCATTATTCAATTAATCACGGACTGGGATGAGAAAAGTTATTGTTCACGGAGGTATTTGCCAGGGAATGACAGAATGTCTAATCGGAGAATAATTCCTGCTTCTATGTCAATGGCAGCCCCGCCCGTCAAACCCGAATTTCTGTGAGCCAAACCACTGTTGTGTAGGTTCCAAGCTTTAGTTGCCACAGTAATTGACTGATGTTCAGTTTAATCTCAGTTTCTGGAACAGAAAGTGATCAAGTTCATGCTGTTAACTGGAGATTACGCCCCAAACCCGCTTTCCGGCTCCTCATTGCTTTAGAATGGGCTCGTTAGGCTATTGCTGTTTGATGCTACCAGTAGTATTTGTAAGGGATGTTCGCAATACTTACCAATAACAGTGGGTTCTAAGTCCACAAAAATGGCCCGAGGGACGTACTTGCCAGCTCCAGTCTCACTGAAGAAGGTGGTGAAGGAGTCATCGTGCCCCCCCACGGGCTTCTGGATGGGCATCTGCCCGTCAGGCTGGATGCCATGTTCCAGACAGTACAGCTCCCAGCACGTGTTTCCCATTTGGACACCAGCTTGCCCAACATGGACAGAGATGCACTCGCGCTGGAATGGGAGACAAAAGAAATCAACAAAGGTCATGAGAAAATGCAACCAATTCTGTTGAGTAACTGGAGAACTGACTGACTTTTGTGAATAAATAATGCAGTAACTGCCATACATACTTGCCCTATATACATGTAAATATAGCCATACAATACTTTAAATATTTAAATCTAGCCATACACAGTGTAAAGCTCTTTTATATTCTTTTGCAAGTTTAACCAAACACATGGCCCATTTTCCAAGGTAGGGCATTCTGAACTTATAATGCCAGTTATCCCCTAAGGGTGGAACTAAATACAGTAACATGGTATTTGAACACTGCACACTAATATTCTCAGAGGAAGACACAATTTCAAACTGGGACATCGCCACCACTACTGAGAACACGGACATGCGTACATTTATTGAAACTAACAACACGGAAGTGATAAATTGTTATCATCTAATCTTGAAATAATGGAATTAAAGCATTTTTATTTCCACGCAGCTGCTGAATATGAGATAGCCCTACCCATTTCAGACTTGGAGAGCTGCATGCTGAGGGGAGGATTATAGCTGGTTTCTGAACTGAGTACTACACTCAATCATATGGTAATCATTTAAGATCTGACAACCTATGCAAAACAAATGCACAGCAAGGTTGATTGAGTTTGCAGTGCATGCAATACGCTGCTGTTTTGTTAAGATATGTGAGTCATGGAAGAGTGTTAAACTTAATTTTTTAAACCTGTGAATACAATCGAATATACATAATTGAATTTTGTTTTGTTAAATATGGTTAAGGTTAGGGCTGGGTAGGGGTTAGGGTTGTCATAGTTAGAATTAGGGTTATGCCCATAGAAATGAATGGAGAGTCCCCACAAAGACATATAGATACCTGATCTGCATGTTTGTGTCTGTGTCTCTGTCTGTCTATATCTGTGTGTCTGTGCCCTGCAATAGGTCCCATCATAGTGAGTTAGTGAGTTAGTCTCTGCAATTTCTCATCTTTTTTTCATGTTCTGGATCTGTTTGATAAGATTCCTCATGAAATGTTAAGCAAAAATGCAGCCTTGGAGTAAAGAAATAATGAATGGAATTATATCATCATAATAATCAATATCGACCGATAGTGAATGAAATTTTGCTACATCACCAAGCCCTCATGAAAACATACTATTCCCAATGTTGAACACAGTATAGCATACCAGTGAGTGTGGGACTTTTCGGACAACATGTCAGTAAAGTTACAGTTATTCATCCCTGTAAATAATATGGATACAATTTTATACTACAATAATTGAACTAAATTAACTCAAAAATATTACAGAAAACAACCCACTTCATAGAGATATGGACTTGATAGTGTCACATTACAATGTCATTAAATTAATGCTACTTGGAATTTCTGAACACTGAAGTTCTCACTTTTCTTTCACATTCTTTTCCTTTTTCTAATGAGTAAGTAGAACATCACTTGTGATTTTGAGTGAGGTAGCTGCTATTCCATGCAGCTTATGCCATTAAGCACCACGCAGTTAAGAAACCAAGAGGTGTTGAAAAAATAAAGTACATGAAAACAGGCAGCATCTGACATTCTGTCTGTAACGACGTTCATCATCACACTTATGTTTCATATGCAGTGTAAATGGAAAAAAACATTTCAACAACAACTCAATACTCCCACATGCCTCTAAAATTTTACTAGGAATTTTAAAACTACAAGTAGGCGTTTCTAATAACCACAGAATTCAGAACAAGGAAGGAAACGAACAATTAAAAAGGGGTAAAATCAGAGGCATTCAGACAATTCATTAAGGCAAAGAAAAACATATGAAACGATTGTTCCAATCAACACAGATTGTGCATAATGCTCAAATATTATGGGGAATCTCTTGATTTCTATACTGTTGCTTGAAAGACATCTCCCACACAAATCTGCCATAGGACCCATGGACCCACT